TCGTCTTTCTTGTTTTTTAATCCATGTTTTCAAAACAAACATTCAAACCACCACTTAAATAGACAGCAATCAGTGTAATTGGAAAGAGTGGAACAATTTTTTATCATTCTAAGCCAATCAAATTAACAGCAAGGTAAAAAAAAGGATTTATATACATAAAAATAATGTGCGTGTGTGTGTGTGCGTTTGTGAGTAAACTCTATACTTAAAATGGCTCTTTTTTTTCCTTCTTGGACAACCAACCAATCACAATCTTCAAAAGATTGTGTCATACATAGCAACGGGGTCAGCCCCGCCTCCTCACTAAGATGAGAGTTTTTGTCTTTTCCTTACTCAGAGTTGCTCTCAGATCGGTCCCGAATCACTCTTAAGCTAAGACTCCTACGTAAAAGTTTTTAAGCTAAATTAAGAGTTTTCTAAAAGGATTCTTAGATTCTTTAGGAATACGGGCCCAGGTGTGTTCGAAGAACCCAATTAGCCGGATCATGATTAGCACGATGATATCATCTTGGATGTCTCATTTGATCTCGGATGTTTTAAGCAACGTACGAAGAACGGGCCCCTGGCCTATTGCATTGAAGTGTGGGGAAGTGCCTGCAAAATATACATTAAACCAATTTTACTCTTACAGAAAAGAGCGATTAGAATTATTGGTTGAAGTGGATAAAATTTAGATTTAAAAATTGGTTTCAATTTTAGGCAATCAGTTCCATAGACGGGGTCTGCAACAGCAAAGACTCTGTCTCCGGGAGCGAGGGATGGATAAACAAGAGGAGGAAGAAGATCTCTGATATAATGGAGCTTCATCATGAAGAGCTTTAGAAACAAACAACTACATTTTAAACTGAACTCTGAAATGGATCGGGAGCCAATGAAGCAAAGCTAAAATTGGGGTGACATGATCATATTTCATATTTCTTTGCAGCCTTGCAGCATCTGGAGGCGAGCAAGCGATGATTGAGGAAGACCCAAATACAATGAATTACAGTAGTGCAAGCGTGAGGTAATAAAAGCATGAATAACCTTCTCCAAGTCTTGGAATGACAACAATGATTGTCAAACAACAAAAGAAAACGACAGAATCACTCACTGCTTTTCACTGAATAACTTTAGTAACTTTAATAACAATCTGTGTATATTTAATTCAGGTGAAGACTATACAGAGGTTTACATTTGATTACTTTATTCAAATTCTGTATTATTAGTAGAATAAATTGATATTTTATTTGTATCTTTTTTCTGTTGTCATATTTTTTATGGTATTTTTTACCAAAAATTTTTATGGTATTACTGACCGTTTCAACGCACACTGATTTTGCCTATTTGTGGAGATCTTCTGAAGTATAGCAGAACCTGACCAATTATTAATTTATATGGGTATATATGTATTTTTACACACACACACGCAGGCCTTTATACTGTATACATTCTTCCCTAGTTTTAGAGCTTGTTCAGAATAACATAAATCAAGCCAGCATGAGTCAGGTGAGAGTCTTATGAAGACATTATTACACTAATAAGAAGCATTAAACAATGTAGGGATGCTATTATTGGCGCTATAGTCAAATTGAAAAGGTTACTGACGAAATGCTTCTGTTTAATTCAAAAGAGGTATATAAATAAAGTATTTTTTTTTAAATAAATGTGAAGAAAGTCACTTGTATATGTTTTACTAATATTATTATTACTACTCAAATATTATACATGGACATTCGTTCAAAAACTAATATTAAACATTATACATTAAACTGTAAAAAAGGGGGGAATAAAAATATCTGTCTGTACTTTTTTTATTAGTACACTTGCATTCATGAACGTGATATTAGGGGAAAAGTAAAATAAATTAATTAAACCGTTTTTTTCTACATTCTTTGGCGCTGTTTTTATTCATTCAGGCGTCTGCAGCGAACACCTTCACAGTGCTGTCGTCACTCAGAGGGGTCCTTCCGCCGCTCTCTCTGAGTCCGTGAGCACGAGCACGTGCAGCAGCAGCAGATCTCCGGTAACGCGCCGCGATGATCGGCGGCAAACCGAGCGCGATCGCCGCGGGCGTCTGTGGCGCGCTCCTCATCGGGTACTGTATCTATTTCGACAGAAAACGACGCAGCGATCCGAACTTCAAAACCAGACTGCGTGAACGTGAGTCACGAGATCGACCAGACTAGTTAACAAAATACTAGAACGCTGTTTACGTAAGACTGGTTTGTTTTACCTTTCATATTTAGATTATAGTACCGTGTCTTTATAATACATAATCACGTTCAGTCAGTTTCGAATTATAGTCTTATTTTGACCCAGGATGTGATGCACGTACTATTGATTCATTGAATCGGTTCCTTTGAACGACTCGTACGAACGCTTCACTTGTGTAGAACCAACAGATGAAGAAGAATCGTATTGGTTGAACTGAATCACAATCAGCTTAGTCTGGTGGACATGTGTTTTGTGTGTTTGATTCAAGGTCTTTATTCGTTATGTACATCTTAATTATATATAAAAGTCTGTTGTTTCATGTGCTGTTTTCTTCTGTTTTAGGGAGGAAGACGCAAAGAGCTGCTCAAGATAAATCTGGACTTGCTCAAGTAGGTCAAACATCACATTTACATGTTTATGAGGGCATCCTTTTGTTCCTTAAAGCAGTTTTCCATCGTGTGATCATCCTTGAGGGACCCTATTCTACATTTAAAGACGACTACATCTTTTTGTGTATAAAGAATATAATTTTTTTTTTATTATTGTTATAATATTGTTTTTATTTCAATGATAATGAAACTGTTATTTATTTCTTTTATTATTTAAATCATTTTATTATTTTAGTTTTTATTTTAACCATCTTTATTGTAATCCAATTAAGTTAGGTCTTGTTTAAATAACTTATTATTTTTGTTGAAAACATTTAATGTATGTTAATCATTGTTTATTTTAATCAATTTAGTTAGATAATTTTATTTATTTTCATTTTAATATTTTTTCATTTATTTTAACATATTTTTATTACATTTTTGCTTAGGTCTTGTTTTTTGGGGGGGAAATTCCATGGATTCATTTTTTATTAATTTATTCAAATAATTTTGAATTTTTTAAATTATTTTTATTCAAATATTATTTTATTTATTTTACTCCTTTTTATTATCACATACATTTTTTTAGTTGGGTCTTATTTTATTATTATTTTTCTCTACTTTTGTCCATGCACCCCCTCATTTTATTTTTATTCAATAAATAATTTTTTCTATAATTTATTTGTATATTAATATATAACATTTTTAGTTAGGTCTTATTCTATTTATTTTATTTTATTTTTTTCTCTACATTGTTCCATGGACCCCCTAATATTTACATTTTTATTAATTAATTCAAATCATTTTTAAATTAATTTTAATCACTACAAACTATTCAGTTAGATCATTTTATTGTAATAATTTTTCCATTTATTTTAATCTTGTTTTTAGTTGGGTGTTAGTTTATTATTTATTTATTATGTCGCTCTTCATATCCTCCAGCTGCCGGATCTTAAAGATGCCGGAGCCGTGCAGAAGTTCTTCCTGGATGAGATCCAGCTGGGCGAGGAGCTTCTGGCTCAGGGTGAGGTGTCCATCTCACTATCACCTGCGTTCACACACACACACACACACACACACACACACACACACTGAAGTGCTAAACGCCCACATGTGTTCCTCAGGAGACTACGAGAAGGGTGTGGATCACCTGACCAATGCGATCGCCGTGTGTGGCCAACCACAGCAGCTCCTGCAGGTGCTTCAGCAAACGCTCCCAGCGCCGGTCTTCCAGATGCTGCTCACCAAACTGCCCTCCATCAGCCAGGTGAGCGCCAACCTCTCGCACACCTGTGTGGGGCTGCGAATCCAACATCTACTCCAAATCTGGAATCAAATACTTGATATAAAATACAAATTTCGATTTCTCTGTGAGCATTTCAATATGACTTTAAAACATTCAAGCGCGAGATGACTCGTGTTGTTTTATGTGGTGCGCACACATCCAAAGCTCGCTCACAGAAAATGTGATTTTAAAACATTCAAGCGCAAGACGACTCGCTGTTTTCAGGTCGTTGTTTCACAAGTCGCGAAACATTCAATTAAATGTTTTGCAATAAGACTAAATGTGAATTATCTAAGGTTTTTTTTTTACCATATTGGAATCGAAATTAGGAATCAATAAGCAAAATCGAAATAGTTAAAGGGATAGTTCACCACAAAATGTAAACTCTGTCAGTAATTACTCTCCCTCATGTTGTTCAACCCCGTAAGACTTTCGTTCATCTTCAGAACACAAATTAAGATATTTTTGATTAAATCTGAGAGCTGGATCACTCCTCCATAGGCTTCTTAAGGGATCGAAACTTGCCGGCCCAAAAGTTATTAAAGACATCGTTAAAATAGTCCGAGTGACGACAGTGGCTCAACCTTAAGTTCATCAAGCGACGAGAATACTTTTTGTGCGCAACAAACAAAAATAACGACTTTATTCAACTATTCATTTCCTTCTCTGTGGGCCTCGAGTGAGTTCACGTAGTGAAACAGCGCAGCGCTTCTGTGTTGTACGTCACACGCAGGCTCACTATTGGCCGACGCTGGTCATGTGTGTGATGATGCGTGTGACGCTGTTACACTACGTGAACTCACTCGAGGCCCACAGAGAAGGAAATGAATAGTTGAATAAAGTCATTATTTTTGTTTGTTTTTTGCGCACAGAAAGTATTCTCATCGCTTGATAAACTTAAGGTTGAGCCGCTGTAGTCACTCGGACTATTTTAACGATGTCTTTCATAACTTTTCTGTGTCGGCAAGTTTCAATCCCTTAAGAAGCCTATGGAGGAGTGATCCAGCTCTCAGATTTAATCAAAAATATCTTAATTTGTGTTCTGAAGATGAACGAAAGTCTTACGGGGTTGAACAACATGAGGGAGAGTAATTACTGACAGAGTTTTCATTTTGTGGTGAACTATCCCTTTAATATTGAAGCGAAACCCACCTGTGCATTCTTTAAAACCCCCCACGAGCCGCGTGTCGCTCCTGGGACAAGAAAGAATGCGAGAGAAACCCAAGAACTAACCAAAGTTAAATGTCTTTGCTGTGACGTTTAGCTATTTCACCTCTTGGACATTGAAATATCTGTCATTGACATCGTGCGCCGCGTGCGGTTCTAGAGCTGACCTTGTGTTCCTCTGTTCACAGCGGATAGTGAGCTCTCAGAGTCTGGAAGAAGATGATGTCGAGTGAATGTGGCGAACCAGCAATGGACCTTCTGATCTCTTATTTATCATGTTTATTCCTGTGTTTGGTTGCACATCAATCCCGACCACTGTCTGTTCCTGGTGTTTGCATTGACATTGTTCGTATAAAATGGATGTTTTTTTATTCTAAACATGATCTAACGTAATCACATATTTAAATGCAATTGAAAGCGTCAAATTAAGAATACACACTTTCAATGACAAGCTAATGATAAAGGTCATCACTTCATAAGCACTCGGCTCCTTTTAATGTAATTTCTGGATATTTCTCACGTGTAGTGGTTGATCAGATATCAAAGATGGATCTGTTTGCAATATTAATCAGATGTTTTTGTTTATAAATCTTGTTTTTGTATGCACTGAACTTTAAATAATAGATTTTTCTTTGTATTCATTAAATAATTTAATCAAGAATGGCTTTTCAATCACGTTATTTCTGCATTTGTTGTTTTTCTGATGCACATTGCACTGCGATGCTGCTGATTATTTCCAGATTGCAGTTCTCTTCCTCTAGGAGGCAGTGCAGACACACACATTCTCATCAACTACACTTCAGTTGAGGATTTTTAATGTTAAAAGCATCTATCCTGGTACACTATAACTGTTTTCTTCAAAATTAACATTTAAATGAGTCAAATCAGCAATCTTATCTTCCAAAACATGTTTTGTCATACCCTGATTCACTGTGGTAAGCCTATTATAGAGTGTTGATGCTTTAGAGCTGTCGGGATGGTTATCACGGGAAACTACATGCGTCACTAGCCCGTGCATGTCTCTTATCCGCAAGCTGCTCCGGCTGCTGTGCCGTGGGATTGGCAGAGGTTAGTTGTGTGTGTGTGAGTGAGTGGCAGAGGTTAGTTGTGTGTGTGTGAGTGAGTGGCAGAGGTGTGTGTGTGAATGGCAGAGGTTAGTTGAGTGTGTGTGAGTGAGTGGCAGAGGTTAGTTGAGTGTGTGTGAGTGAGTGGCAGAGGTTAGTTGTGTGTGTGTGTGTGTGTGAGTGAGTGGCAGAGGTGTGCGTGTGAATGGCAGAGGTTAGTTGAGTGTGTGTGAGTGAGTGGCAGAGGTTAGTTGAGTGTGTGTGTGTGTGAGTGGCAGAGGTTAGTTGTGTGTGTGTGTGTGTGAGTGAGTGGCAGAGGTGTGCGTGTGAATGGCAGAGGTTAGTTGAGTGTGTGTGAGTGAGTGGCAGAGGTTAGTTGAGTGTGTGTGTGAGTGGCAGAGGTTAGTTGTGTGTGTGTGTGTGAGTGAGTGAGTGGCAGAGGTTAGTTGAGTGTGTGTGTGAGTGGCAGAGGTTAGATGTGTGTCTGTGTGCGTGTGAATGGCAGAGGTTAGTTGAGTGTGAGTGGCAGAGGTTAGTTGAGTGTGTGTGTGAGTGGCAGAGGTTAGTTGAGTGTGTGAGAGTGGCAAAGGTTAGTTGAGTGTGTGTGTGAGTGGCAGAGGTTAGTTGAGTGTGTGTGTGTGAGTGGCAGAGGTTAGTTGAGTGTGTGTGAGTGGCAGAGGTTAGTTGAGTGTGTGTGAGAGTGGCAGAGGTTAGTTGAGTGTGTGTGTGTGAGTGGCAGAGGTTAGTTGAGTGTGAGTGGCAGAGGTTAGTTGAGTGTGTGTGTGAGTGGCAGAGGTTAGTTGAGTGTGTGAGAGTGGCAAAGGTTAGTTGAGTGTGTGTGTGAGTGGCAGAGGTTAGTTGAGTGTGTGTGTGTGAGTGGCAGAGGTTAGTTGAGTGTGTGTGTGAGTGGCAGAGGTTAGTTGAGTGTGTGTGAGAGTGGCAAAGGTTAGTTGAGTGTGTGTGTGTGAGTGGCAGGTTAGTTGAGTGTTTGAGAGTGGCAAAGGTTAGTTGAGTGTGTGTGTGTGAGTGGCAGAGGTTAGTTGAGTGTGTGTGTGTGAGTGGCAAAGGTTAGTTGAGTGTTTGAGAGTGGCAGAGGTTAGTTGAGTGTGTGTGTGTGAGTGGCAGAGGTTAGTTGAGTGTGTGTGTGAGTGGCAGAGGCTAGTTGAGTGTGTGTGTGAGTGGCAGAGGTTAGTTGAGTGTGTTTGAGAGTGGCAAAGTTTAGTTGTGTGTGTTTGAGAGTGGCAAAGGTTAGTTGAGTGTGTGTGTGAGTGGCAGAGGTTAGTTGAGTGTGTGTGTGTGAGTGGCAGAGGTTAGTTGAGTGTGTGTGTGTGAGTGGCAGAGGTTAGTTGAGTGTGTGTGTGAGTGGCAGAGGTTAGTTGAGTGTGTTTGAGAGTGGCAAAGGTTAGTTGAGTGTGTGTGAGTGGCAGAGGTTAGTTGAGTGTTTGAGAGTGGCAGAGGTTAGTTGAGTGTGTGTGTGAGAGTGGCAAAGGTTAGTTGAGTGTGTGTGTGTGTGAGTGGCAGAGGTTAGTTGAGTGTGTGTGTGTGTGAGTGGCAGAGGTTAGTTGAGTGTTTGAGAGTGGCAAAGTTTAGTTGTGTGTGTTTGAGAGTGGCAAAGGTTAGTTGAGTGTGTGTGTGAGTGGCAGAGGTTAGTTGAGTGTGTGTGAGAGTGGCAAAGGTTAGTTGAGTGTGTGTGTGAGTGGCAGAGGTTAGTTGAGTGTGTGTGAGAGTGGTAAAGGTTAGTTGAGTGTGTGTGTGTGAGTGGCAAAGGTTAGTTGAGTGTGTGTGTGAGTGGCAAAGGTTAGTTGAGTGTGTGTGTGTGAGTGGCAGAGGTTAGTTGAGTGTGTGTGTGAGTGGCAAAGGTTAGTTGAGTGTGTGTGTGTGAGTGGCAGAGGTTAGTTGAGTGTGTGTGAGAGTGGCAAAGGTTAGTTGAGTGTGTGTGTGTGAGTGGCAGAGGTTAGTTGAGTGTGTGTGAGAGTGGTAAAGGTTAGTTGAGTGTGTGTGTGTGAGTGGCAAAGGTTAGTTGAGTGTGTGTGTGAGTGGCAAAGGTTAGTTGAGTGTGTGTGTGTGAGTGGCAGAGGTTAGTTGAGTGTGTGTGAGAGTGGCAAAGGTTAGTTGAGTGTGTGTGTGTGAGTGGCAGAGGTTAGTTGAGTGTGTGTGTGTGTGAGTGGCAAAGGTTAGTTAAGTGTGTGTGTGAGTGGCAGAGGTTAGTTGAGTGTTTGAGAGTGGCAAAGGTTAGTTGTGTGTGTTTGAGAGTGGCAAAGGTTAGTTGAGTGTGTGTGTGAGTGGCAGAGGTTAGTTGAGTGTGTGTGAGAGTGGCAAAGGTTAGTTGAGTGTGTGTGAGAGTGGTAAAGGTTAGTTGAGTGTGTGTGTGTGAGTGGCAAAGGTTAGTTGAGTGTGTGTGTGAGTGGCAAAGGTTAGTTGAGTGTGTGTGTGTGAGTGGCAGAGGTTAGTTGAGTGTGTGTGAGAGTGGCAAAGGTTAGTTGAGTGTGTGTGTGTGAGTGGCAGAGGTTAGTTGAGTGTGTGTGTGTGAGTGGCAGAGGTTAGTTGAGTGTTTGAGAGTGGCAGAGGTTAGTTGAGTGTGTGTGTGTGAGTGGCAGAGGTTAGTTGAGTGTGTGTGTGTGAGTGGCAGAGGTTAGTTGAGTGTGTGTGTGTGAGTGGCAGAGGTTAGTTGAGTGTGAGTGTGTGAGTGGCAGAGGTTAGTTGAGTGTGTGTGTGTGTGAGTGGCAGAGGTTAGTTGAGTGTGTGTGTGTGAGTGGCAGAGGTTAGTTGAGTGTGTGTGTGTGAGTGGCAGAGGTTAGTTGAGTGTGTGTGAGAGTGGCAGAGGTTAGTTGAGTGTGTGTGTGAGTGGCAGAGGTTAGTTGAGTGTGTGTGAGTGAGTGGCAGAGGTTAGTTGAGTGTGTGTGTGAGTGGCAGAGGTTAGTTGAGTGTGTGTGAGAGTGGTAAAGGTTAGTTGAGTGTGTGTGTGTGAGTGGCAAAGGTTAGTTGAGTGTGTGTGTGAGTGGCAAAGGTTAGTTGAGTGTGTGTGTGTGAGTGGCAGAGGTTAGTTGAGTGTGTGTGTGAGTGGCAAAGGTTAGTTGAGTGTGTGTGTGTGAGTGGCAGAGGTTAGTTGAGTGTGTGTGAGAGTGGCAAAGGTTAGTTGAGTGTGTGTGTGTGAGTGGCAGAGGTTAGTTGAGTGTGTGTGAGAGTGGTAAAGGTTAGTTGAGTGTGTGTGTGTGAGTGGCAAAGGTTAGTTGAGTGTGTGTGTGAGTGGCAAAGGTTAGTTGAGTGTGTGTGTGTGAGTGGCAGAGGTTAGTTGAGTGTGTGTGAGAGTGGCAAAGGTTAGTTGAGTGTGTGTGTGTGAGTGGCAGAGGTTAGTTGAGTGTGTGTGTGTGTGAGTGGCAAAGGTTAGTTGAGTGTGTGTGTGTGAGTGGCAGAGGTTAGTTGAGTGTTTGAGAGTGGCAAAGGTTAGTTGTGTGTGTTTGAGAGTGCCAAAGGTTAGTTGAGTGTGTGTGTGAGTGGCAGAGGTTAGTTGAGTGTGTGTGAGAGTGGCAAAGGTTAGTTGAGTGTGTGTGAGAGTGGTAAAGGTTAGTTGAGTGTGTGTGTGTGAGTGGCAAAGGTTAGTTGAGTGTGTGTGTGAGTGGCAAAGGTTAGTTGAGTGTGTGTGTGTGAGTGGCAGAGGTTAGTTGAGTGTGTGTGAGAGTGGCAAAGGTTAGTTGAGTGTGTGTGTGTGAGTGGCAGAGGTTAGTTGAGTGTGTGTGTGTGAGTGGCAGAGGTTAGTTGAGTGTTTGAGAGTGGCAGAGGTTAGTTGAGTGTGTGTGTGTGAGTGGCAGAGGTTAGTTGAGTGTGTGTGTGTGAGTGGCAGAGGTTAGTTGAGTGTGTGTGTGAGTGGCAGAGGTTAGTTGAGTGTGTGTGTGTGAGTGGCAGAGGTTAGTTGAGTGTGAGTGTGTGAGTGGCAGAGGTTAGTTGAGTGTGTGTGTGTGTGAGTGGCAGAGGTTAGTTGAGTGTGTGTGTGTGAGTGGCAGAGGTTAGTTGAGTGTGTGTGTGTGAGTGGCAGAGGTTAGTTGAGTGTGTGTGAG